GGATGATAACAACTTTTGGGAAAGCAAGGCTATGTGAAATTCAATGGAAACGTCAGCTCAACTCATATCCTGGATGAGAACAACTTTTGGGAAAGCAAGGCTATGTGAAATTCAATGAAAACGTCAGCTCAACTCATATCAATTCGTGGCAAATTTCTTCTTCTACCAGTCCTCCATCACCTAAAACGAAATTGGGTGAATACATCTCGTATTACTGATTAAAGCAAGGTTGAAAACAACTTTTGGGAAAGCAAGGCTATGTGAAATTCAATGGAAACGTCAGCTCAACTCATATCATTGTTGTGGGAAAATCATACTACCAGTCCTTCATCACCTTACACGAAATAGGGTGAATACATCTCATTACACTGATTTACTGGTAGTTTCGACTACCAGTCCTTCATCACCTTAGACGAAATAGGGTGAATACATCTCATTATGTGAAATTCAATGGAAATAATACCAGTCCTTCATCACCTTACACGAAATAGGGTGAATACATCTCATTACACTGATTTACTGGTAGCCTCTAACCAGTCCTTCATCACCTTAGACGAAATAGGGGGAATACATCTCATAACATAAAGGAGTTTTCTTGACTCAGGCCAGTCCTTCATCACCTTAAACGAAATAGGGTGAATACATCTCATATTACTGATTTACTGGTAGTTTCGAATGGATGACGAAATACATCTCATTACTTTATATAGGGTGAATACATCTCATTACACTGATTTACTGGTAGTCTCGAAACCTTACTCAATTACGAATATAAATGGTCTCCGTCTGAAAATGTATTCCTCAGTAGAGAGATATTATTCTCAAGTAGGCCCAAAGGATAATTATTTTCCAGGAATATATTTGTCAGAGGTTGCAACTCTTTAGTCAAATGTTTGATATCCGTTAGTCTTATACTTCTAAGAATTATTGACTTCAAAATGCCAACCTTAGTATTGTAACTATGGTTGGAAATAAAATTAAGTAAAAAACCAACATGTGTTGGCTTCCTATAAATATCTCTTTCTAACTTACCCTTTTCTCTAATTATGAGAGCATCCAGAAAAGGTAAGGACTTATTCTCTTCTATTTCCATCGTGAACCTAATGTTCCTTTCAC